ATGTAGTTCAGCACAAAGGCTCAAAATATTAGTCCATGGTTGGCTGACTCCAAAGCACATATGAGACATCAAAGCAACATGGCAGAGGAAAAGGTACTCAACCTATGGCAGCTGGGAAGAAGAGACAGAAGATAGGCACCAGGAACAAGAACAAAGCCATCCAAGTCACAACACAAGTATGACCTAACAGCATATTGAGCTGCTAAATTCATCAATGGGTGAATCCACTGATGAATATAGCACCCCTTGATCCAGTCAACTTCCAAACACATGAAAGTTTTGATATCTAAAGTGAAACAGAATCCCTATTTCTGCATGACACAGAAAACAAAAGCCCTAAGAGATTAAGTCAAGTCATATTGTCTGGCATTTGTTGATATTACTCTGATTCAAGAAGCAGCTATGCCCTTCTTTTTTTCACCTGAACAGATGAACAGATAAAGACAGTGTGGTTTACAGATATAATAGCTTATAATTAAGCCATAAAAAGAGGAAGTTGCACCATTCCCAACAACATAGAAGGACTTGGAGAACAGTATGCTAAGTGAAATGAGCCATGTCATGTGTAAAAAGAAAAATAGTACATGCTCTCACATATATAAGGAATCTAAAAAAAGTCATCCTCACAGAATTTGAGACAATAGTGATTTCCAAAAGCTGGAGAAGGGGTAGAAGGGAATGGGGAAAGACTGGTCAACAGGGAAATTTTCAATTAGACAGGAGGAGTAAATTCTAGAGTTCTACAGGACAACAGAGTGACTACAGTCAGTAATACTGTTCCAGGTCTCTGGGAGGTAGAGGCAGGAAGACTGCAAATTTGAGCCCAGCTGGCGAAATTTAGAAAGACCCTATTTTAAGTTTAAAAGCATATATAGAAAAGGGCTGGTGATGTACTTGAGTAGTCCCTGGATCCAATCCCCACTACTGCTCCAAAAAAAAAAAAAAATTATATGCTTCAAAATAAATAGGAGAGAGGGCTTCCAGGAAGATGGCCCGGTATAAACAGCAGCAAAGCAGCCTCTCCGAGATTTGAAATCAAGACATTGGAATATAACAACTTGGGGAAGAAAAGGATGGAGGTGGACCCTTGGAACCCAAGAAGGACCTGAAGGGAGAACTGGAGCCCACAGGTAAAGTGAAGAGACAGACCTGAATGCAGAGAAAGGTGGCAAGCTGTATTGTTTCCCTGACTCCTATCTCACAGCTTGAGAGAAGAGGCTCAAATCTACAGGGATACAGTTACGCCGGGTGACTGCAAAGACTGCCAAGGAGAAATTAACCAGTAGAATGAAGCATTGGATGGTGTGAGCTACAATACTTGGTGAGTGACTCAAGTACAAGCAACTGAACCTGGGACAGAGGGCAGCTGTGGTTTGGCTTCAACTCAGGGCTCCCAGTGACTGGGTGAGGCACAACCATAAGAGACATCCAAGGTCAGGAAGCTGAGATCAAGCTGGGAAAACACACCTAGTGTGCTGTAAACTGAGCAACTCAGGCCCCAACCTCACAACCAGAAGCCAGGGTCAACTTCTATGGAATTGAAAGCACCAGAATCAGCACCCTGCCCTACTCCTACTGCAGGCTTGCACAGATCATACAGCATGGATCTGGGCTCTATGTACCTTTATCTACCAGTGGCAGCAGAGACATGCCCTGAATTGGACATTACCACAAAAGTGTAGACCTCAAAAGATAACCACAGGCTTGAAATGAGAGGAATCTTTTCTTTTTTATTTTTTCCCGTGCTTTGCTTTTTTGCCCTTTTTTCATGTTTGTCTTTGTTTTTTCATGAGTGTAAACACTGGTTTTAGTTTTGTTTGTTTAGTTCTTATTTTTGCTGTTTTTTCTTCCTTTCCTTATTGTCTTCTTCACCAGTTTCCCAAAGTTTATGTAATCTTCTTTTGTCCTTTCACCTTGCTTCCAATCTTTTTATCTCCTTTCATTTTCCCTTATCCCTTTTAAATCTTCTCCCCTGAAGGTAAAATTAGTTTATTGGGAGGATATTTACTATGTACAATTTTCTGATTTGTTTTAGATTTTGTAAAATAATTACAAATCTTGTATCTGTGGTAAAAGGTGGCAAATAAACAGTTACCACACTTTCTCATTTTGTAGACTCGTCTTCATAGTACTGTTATTACTGATTATACTACTTTAGCCAAGAGGACACAGTTGTGCTAGGTTGTTCTTCCTTGCAATCCAATACCAAGATTTTCTGGGAGATCATAAACAGTTCCATAGTCTAGTACCAAAGAACGGGGTGCTAGACCAAATAGGCAACAACCTCTCATACTTCATAAACTAAAGAGGCAGGATCTTCAGAAAGACTCAAAAGCCAAAAGCCAGATATACCTAGAAGACATGTCTGAAAAGTAGTCATTTTCTGAGGAGGTCTTGATACTAGTAACAAAGCTACCTACCATAAGCAATTTACAAACATCAATACAGAAAACAAATTTTAAAAACAAGAAAACACAGAGGCAAGATGCAACCCCTGACCCAAGGCAAATCTAGGGGGCATTGAGGTGGAAGAAATCAAAAGCCATCCAGCTGAACTTTCTGAAATGGTAGCAGTGGAAGTAACAATACACATGAATGACTCTCTAAAAAAAAATATATCAGAAGTAATTTCACAGATAACTAAAGAGATGATGACCATAATGCAAGATATGTTTAATGAATCTAGAGTAGTTACAGCCAAAAAATAAAAAAAGGAAAGTGATGGAAACCATGAAGGCCCAACATAGGAAAGAACTGGATTCCATGAAACAAATGGAAACAGATATCCAGGGGATTTAAAATTCTATTCAAAGTACACGTATCAGAATCAACCAGTGTGAGGACAGAACATCAGACGTAGAAGACAGGTCTGCGGTTTGTAATCATCAAATGAAAGAATATTTAAAAATAGCAAAGAACTGTGAAAAATCAATTCAATAGTTGTTAGATGATGCAAAGAAAAATGATATAAGATTGACCAGACTCAATGAAAACTCAGAAGATAGTACAAAGGACATAAAAAACCTGTTTACAGAAGAAATGGTAGAAAACTTCCCAAGCATGGGAAAAGAATTTAACATACAGTAGGTGAGGCATTCAGAACTCCAATTAGCCATCATCAGAAAAACACTATATAAGGCATGCAATAGTTAAGATTCCAGAAATTCAACACAAGACTAGAATATTAAAAGCAGTTAGAGAAAACAAACAGATCACCTATAAAGGAAAGCCCATCAGAATCACAGCAGACTTCTCAACACAAATCCTTAATTCAAGGGAAGTTTGGAATACTTCAAGCCCTAAAAGAAAACAACCTCCAACCCAGACTGTTATACCTTGCAAAATTATCTTTTAAAATTTGATAATTAAGACATTTTCATGATTAAAGAACACCTGCAGAAATTCATGACCACAAAACCAATACTCCAAAAAGTTCTAAAGGATATTCTAGAAAAAAAACAATGCTGACAAAATTCCAGGAATCCAAACAGAATGAATCTATGAGGCAAGGCAAGCAATTAACAAAGGGGAAAGAAAGGGAACCAACAACAGGAAAATAATATGACAACGATAAGTCAATACATATCAGTGATAACTATCAATGTAAATGGTCTCAATTCACCAATAAAAAGAAACAGATTGGCAAAATAACTAGGAGTTTTGAGTATTTCACCTTGACAGCTAATCACCTTGATATGCCCATCACAAATTTATATACACAGCATATGAAATATCACAGTGTGTTCCATAACTTTGTAAAATTATTACCTGTCGTTTAAAACAAAGATTTTTCAAGTGTATTAAAAAAAATTAAACACATTTTCCTCTTAAAAACACAAGCCTAAAGTGTATGACAAAAAAGTATGCAAAACACACATATAAGATCGGAACATCAACTCAGTAATACAAAACCCAAAAAACTATAAATAAAACATGATCTAAAGATATGGTCAAATCTCCTGTATGATTTCTATTTTTTTGTATACGACACTGCATCTGGGAGTTTCACACTGAGGTATATCCCCAGTCTTCTGACATTGTACTTTATTTCTGTATTTTGACACAGGGTCTCACAAAATCAAGTTTTCCAGGTGGGCTTGAACTTGTAATCCTATTACCTCAGCCTCATACTGCTAGTGTGCTAGGTTTACAGGTATGCACCACAATACCTGACCACTAGAGATTGATTAATGGCTAAAAAAAAATACATTACGAGATTCAACACCATCAGTAAAGAAATGCAAACTAAAACAGAACAGAAGACAGTCAAAATGTTTACAAATAATAACTACTGAATGTTGGTGACCAAAGAGCAGTAAGAACTCACAATGTTTATGAGCAAGAAAAGAAGCACTGACTTCTGAAAAAGATTTGCCAGTTTCTGGTTTTACATATAAAGTGACCAGAAGACCTGCCAAGTCCACTCCTAGGTATTTATATTAAAAAAATGAAAACAGATGTTAACACAAGATTTGTATATGAAGATTCATAAGTTTATTTTTGATAGCCTCAAACTGTAAAAACCAACATTTATCAGCTGACAAAGGATAACAAATTGTGGTCAAATACACACAAAGGAATAATCAACATAAAAATATAAACTACTTTATACAAACTCATAAATGAGTCTCAAAAGTGGCATTCTAAGTGAAAGAAACAGACAAAAAGAGAATATAGTTTACAATTCCATCTGTATGAAATTTGAACAAATGCAAAATTATTGGAACAGAAAGGAGATCAGTGGGTAGCAGGAGAGGACTCACTGGAAAGTCTTCAAAGAATCTTTTCAGGGGTGACAGAAATATTCCAAATCTTGATTTTGATGATTGTAATCAAGGCTATATATTTCCTAAAACTTGCTGATTACAAGTATAACACTGAAAGGTGCTCAATTTTAATTTCAGTTAAACATACCTCGACAAAAGTGAACAATATTAAAACAGCAAAAAAGAAACAACAGAATTGTACTGTGGAGGAGTCATGTGCTCAGGTCTGCTCACCCACAGAGACGAGGTGGCTGTAGATCTCCAGCATCACCTCTTTGTACAGGGTCCTCTGGGCAGGGCCCATGTGCTGCCACTCCTCCTGGCTGAGCTCCACAGTCACGTCCTCCAATGACACTGACACCTGTAATACATATTTCTCATCAATCTGATGGTTCAGTATGAGAGACAGGAAAATATTTTGGGAAGCTGACTCTATGTTCACTGCTAGGAGATTAATATAAAACAATTAATTAATTAATATAAAACAATTCTGTTTTATATTTTGGGGAAACAACTCAAAGAAATATTATTTTGACACTCTAATTTACTTAATGTTATACATGTGCACTATCACTCAACATTCTGAAGTAGTTTAATGCCTTCTTTTATGAGGTAGAATTATTTCTAACAGAATTCCTGTATACATTTCCCATATACCACTGAGTTCTACTAAGTAGTCTGTAAAGCTCATACCCCAGCCCAGAGATCACTGCTGGGTTAACAAGGAATAATTACTTTACAGAAGTAGAGTGGGAAGGGCCCAACGAAGAATCAAAACCCAGGAATCATGAAGGATGGAACACAGCTAAAATTTGGCAACACAAAAAGCCAATGTCTTTATGGCAAAAAGTAAGAAGAAAAAACCCTAAAAAATGGTATAATGTATCTGACAGAGAAAAGCTACAAAAATATACTGGATAAGATATTCAAAAGATCTACACATTAATATGGGGAGCATGAGATAAACAATTCAATCAAAAAATATATACACCACAAAACACACACACGCACACACGCACACATACACACGCTCACACACATTGTAATTCCAGTTAAGCAGGAGGCTGAAGCAGGAGGATCACAACTTTGAAGCCAGCCTGGCCAACTTATCAAGCCTCTCTCTCCAAATGAAAATATAAAAGGCTGGGGTTGTAGCTCATTGGTACAGCATCCCTGGGTTCAATCCCAGTACCACAAAGGGAAAAAAAAAAAAAAGAATAATTGTTTTAAGACTTATTCTTTGAACTATCCTCTCTCATCTCAAACTCCTACAGATGGCCCAACTAAACAGATATAGTGTGTTCATGAATTGTAAGACCCAGTTTGATCAAAATGTTATTCTCCCCAAATTCATCTAAACTCTACAGTAGACTCAACAGATTCAGGACAGTCAAAATCAAAATCTCAGTGAGCTTTTTCAAAATACATAAGCTGATTTTTTAAAACTTTCTGTATAAAGAACCAAATGATTTATGCTACCTAGAACAATTTTAAATGACAAACACAGTTGAAAGACTCATGCTACCAGATTTCAAGACTTTCTATAAATATGGAACTCACCAAATCATCACCAGTGAATGGAATCCAAAACAGACCCATACATACACAGTTAATTAATGCCCATAGTAGTGCCGAGGTAATTCAGGGGAAAAAGTACACTGCTTTCCACAAATGGTGCTGACAGATGGGTGTCTAAGGCAGAAAGCACAAAAATGGCAAGGGTATGTTCATCTATTCCAACATTTAGAGAACTCCATCAGCAATAACTGAGGAGGTCCTCAGACTAAAATTCTAGACTGAACTGGAACATATTTGGTCTAGTATAAATCAGCAAGGTTTATACTAAAATAAAATGTAAAAGCTGATTAAAAACAGAACTACTGCTATAGCAGAGAGAATAAATCCTTTGAAAGTCTAAGAGAATACTACTGAAAAACTTGCGAAAGCTCATTTTAAAATATAAATAAAAATGAATGATTTTCTATGAAAATGCAGTGATGAAAAATCTACTTAGAAAATACAAATCTAGTATAGGATTGATAACTGATTAATACACTGGTTCAGTCATCAAAATCTTCACATAAAAGTCTTTATGAGGTCCAAGTTCATACATAAATTTCACAAAATGTGTATACTGCACAACAAAATATTCTCATTTATTGAAAATTATTAGAAAAGAAGCATAAAATTGCTCACTTCTTTTATAAGAATATAAGCATGATAACAATACGACAGGGAAACAAGAAAGTATAGTGTATTCCAAATTGAGGCTACAGAAAATGAACCCCAAAGAATTAGCAACAAGCCTTAGCAAAGTATGTACGAAGCAATTTTGCACACTTATTAGCAAGTAGGGTCTATGCAGCAATTCAGAGTAATATTAGAAAATTCAGTATATTATTTATAATGTATAAAGAAACCAGCATAGCTTTCTCCAGTAGAGGCACAAAAACAATTCAGTATTTCAATGGACATTCATGGCCAACATGAAACCTAAGCAAACTGATAACCAGAAGGCACCTACTTTAACAGTACTTTCGATGTCGCGCTAACAACACACCTCAGAGATCATGGTAAAACTGTATTCTTCAAAATTGAGTTGATGTACTGTATTTCGAGTTCCTCTTTTTCCATTTAATGCAAGGACTCCTCTAAACTTCCTAAACCCCTGGAAGTGGGGCATAAAGAGAACTCACCTGAGTTGTGTTCATGTTCTGCAGCTCTCAGAAGAGATAAACAAATTGCAGGACCAGCCGGGACAGAAGCAGGACTGCTTCAGATCTGCCTGCCTCACAGCTCCTAGATACACTTTCTCAAATCTTACCAGCCTACAGCTAAAGGAACAGAGCCCTTCAGGCCTTGGGAGGGCCTGCAAAGGGTCGGGTACCGGAGGCATTAGCTGCCTCTATGCAACCCCCGTTCCCTTCTTCCGGCTTTTAGCTCCTGCCGCCAGCGGGCTGGCCCTCGGTCCCCAACCCAGACCCGAGCCCAACAAGGCCGGGAGGGAGACCCGCGGCCCTGCACGTCCCGAAGGCTTAGGCAGGACCCGCCGGGAGCTCGCGGGATGGGACACCTCCGCCCGCAGTCACCCACACGGAGGTGCAGAAAGACTCCAAGAGCGCTCCGCTCCCGCCCTCTCTAACGCTGGCCCACGACTTTCCGAACCAACCGGAAGGTCCGAACGACTTCGCAGGGCTGGAGACGCCGAAAGAAGCGCGCCCCACAGCTGCACATGCGCAGAAAAAGCCAGCGGAGCTACGCCCTGCGCTCTAAAAATCAGTGGGAGCCCAAACTACACTTCCCATGAGTCTCCACGGGCTGGGCGTTCTCATTGGGGGCCGGGGGGCGGAGTCTGCTGGCCGGGTTTCCAGTGGCTGAACACTGAATGAGGCCCCGCTCAGTGTAAAATAGCCTTAGACTGAGTACTGATGAAAATAACATTTTCTACGTAAACCTTTTGGAAATGGGGGAACCTGAATGTGGAATGAGAATACTAAAATATACATTGAGAATATTAAGAAAATTACTGTATTTCTGTGAAGTGAAAAAAATGAAGTCGTATGGGAACGTTGACTAGTTTCAAAATATTTGAAATATTTGTTTGCAAATATATAAATTTACTTTATACTTTTATAAATTTTCAACCTGGAACATGAACACAGTCACTCACCTAACCTGCAATCTCCAGAGCCTGGCATGGGAGTTCTAAGGCAGGTTGGTCCGGGTCCTGCAAGTGTACACAGAGCTGTACGTAGAAAAAACCGTTGGTTTTTATACGGTCAGATTGTTCTTGCTGAATTCTCACAACACATGGGGATTTCGACACATTTTAATGTTAAATATCTTGATTTCCTTGCTTATAATGTCACTGGCTCGTGCAGGTCCTCGCTTCAGGGACTATGGAAATTAAAACTGAGGCATTCGGCAGAACTTAGAGGAAAAAGCTATGGCTAAGTTATAAAGGATTTTGTCCAAAGCCACTTAGCCTACCCCTCGTGTGAAGGCTCCTACTTATAAACGAGGATAGGAGGATAGTCAAACGGGAAAAGATCTGAATCTCTGTTAGAATGTTTTGTGTTGCATTCTATCCATGAGAACTAAAATTATATGTGTGTGTATCTCTATCTTCTATCTATCTCTCTATAGTCCCTTTGTAGGGTACTCACCTATTTATTTTCTGTGGACTTCATGATCAAAGAGCAACCACCACAGATCTATTCAGGCCACACAAAAGATGACCACACTTCATGATATAGGAGGTAAGGTGTGGCAAAGCTGTCTTGGAAAATAAGCAGGACCTGTCAGTTACAAGATCCCAGGAAGGCAACAAATAATTCCCAGGACACTACATATAGAACTTCTCATGGTTCCCACAAGAGTGGGATGCATATAGAGATACAGGCACCACAAGGACCCTGCTATTGGGACTCCTCCCAGTATTGGGCCTCCTCACTCTTCTAAATGCAGAGTACACTTTTATTTTCATTTTTATCCTTTCCTCTCTTTGTTTAGCCCAAGTTCACCCTGCAGAGTCAGTTTTTCACCTTACCCCTTCACCTCTTATTTTTCAAATAAATTTTTGGTGCCATTTTTTGGCTTGTCTCATCTAATCCTTTGTTTGAGGCAAGAAGGACCTGGAATAAGTTTAAATAGTGAGCCATTTCTAAAGGAACAACCTAACAACAATCAGAAATACACAGGGAGTATTTTTTTAAAGGTTCATCCGGATCGCATTGGAGAAACATTTATTTCATTGATACGCATGGACTGCTTCTGAGTACACAGTGGGTATACATACATCAATCAACTTGGCCCTATCCAAAATATTCTATCCTTCTTGGTCTAATAGCCTAAGAATATATCTTCATATATGTCATATATTTTCTGTGTATGTGCAAGGTAAACCGGTACTGAGCAAGACCTTGAGTTCATGTTTTGTTTTACAGTTTAAAACTACAACTTTCCCATTGGGAATAGGTGGGATTATTTTATTCCTACTGTGGAGCCACTCACAGTGGTTGCACAGAGCATTCCAGAGGAGAGTCAGCCTCCCCTTTCAGGCGTGATATTAGGATCACTTTTTAGGAGAGAGAGACAGAGACAGAGACACCAACCCCAAGCTTCATACAGTTTTAGACAGGGCTTTTTCAGAGGCAGCTGAATCTAGAGTTTGTGATTGTGTAGTGCAATGCTGAGATTAAGGGTGAGATTGCTAGATCAGTACACTGACTGGATTGGCACTGCCCTAATTCCAGCAGTCTGGATAAAATAAAAGGGACCCAAAAAAGGCTCATTTCCCCTTTTTACTCTAGCTGCTTTTGCCATCTGCCTCTGCCCCACCCACCATGAACTGTTGCCACTCTGCCATGTGTCACCCTTCCTGGGAGCCAGCAGATTATGGACTGAAACCTCTACAGACTGTAAGATAAATAAACCTTTCCTTCCTTAACTTTGGGTGTTGGGTATTTTGTCACAGTAATGACAGAAAAATAACTTAGACAACTTCTGCACAGAAAAGAAATAATAGAGTGAGGATTAGAAGAAAATATTTGCAACCATGCCCGTGAAGAGGTGTGAGGAAACAAAATATGTAAAGATCTCAGACAACTCAGTAGCAAGAAAATTCAATTTAAAAATTGGCAAAGTACATGGCAGTACTGGAAACTGAATCTAGGTCCTTCACACTGGCCACATCTCCAGGCCTTTTTATTTTTTATTTTGAAACAGAGTCTCACTAAATCACTAAGTTGCCAGGCTTGGATCATACTTGCCATCCTCCTGCCTCAGCCTCCCAGACTTGGGGAGTTATGCACTAGCACACATGAATCTCAGTTCCAAGAAGGTACTAATAAAATTTACAGAATATGTGAAATAAATATATTCAAAGAATATCATGTTTAAGGTAAGGTCTCTCCAATAAACTGTGGAACCTGAAGAGATTATACTTGATCTTTTCACAAGAACCCATCCTAATGTAAAGTTCAATTGAGCCAGGTGTGGTGGCACACGCTTGTAATCCCAGCATTCGGGAGGCTGAGGTAGGAGGATCGTTGTGAGTTGAGACCAGCCTGGGCTACAAAGTGAGCTCAAGGCCAGCCTGAACTGCATAGCGAGACCCTGTCTCAAAAGCACAAGTAAATAGATAAATAAATAAAGTTCAATTGAATTAAAGATAAACAATGCATCTATTTGGTTCAGATTCAAGAGTATTTTGTGGTGAAGTAAGACATGGAGTCTTATGATATAATGTAAAGACATAAAGTTGCCATGCCAGGAAAAAATCATCAGAAAGACTAATAATTATTAAATTATAAAAAGATAGTGGGGTACAACCTCCTACTTGCTTTCCGCAGCAGCTCTACCTTTGATATTCCCAACAGTGCAAGGAGGTTTTCTTTTCTCCATATCTTCACCAACAGCTATTATTTTCTGTTTGTTTTTTTTTTAAATTAAAAGTCATCCTTAAGGATATTCCCAGAATGATGGTACACCCCTGTAATCTCAGCACTTGGAAGGTTAAGGCAGGAGGATCTTTGGGAGTTCAAGGCCAGCCTGGACTACATAGAGAGTTCAAGCCCAGTCTGAACTGCATAGTGAGACCCTGTCTCAAAAACAAAAAACAAAAAAAGAGCCATCCTAATGGATATGAAGTGTTAGCTTATTGTGGGTTTGATTGCATGTCTCTAACAACTAGTGATTATTCATGAGCATCTTTTCTTGAGCTTATCAGTTTTTTATGTATGTTCTTTAGAGAAATGTGTGTTTAAATTTGAGGGGGGTTGAGGCAGGGTCTCACTATGAAGTTCAGACTGATGTTGAACTCACTATTAGTCAAAGCTAAGGAATGTACAGCGATCCTCCTGCCTCCTGCTCCAAGTGCTGAGATTACAAGCATGTGCCACCATGCCTGGCTCGAATTGGGTTGTTTTGTTACTGAGTTTAAATAACATGTATATGTTGAAGCCCCAGCCCTCAATATGATTTCATTTGGAGCAAGGGTTTTTATGAGGTAATTAAGGTTGAATGAGGCTATAAAATGACCAAATGGAACACATGGTGGCACATACCTGTAATCCCAGCATTTGGGAGTAGGAGGCAGGTGAACTGCAAATTCCAGGCAAGCGTGGGCTACACAGGGAGTTCAAGGTCAGTTGGGCCCTGTCCCCAAACATCAAAACAGCAAGAAGAACAGACCTCAGAGAGCACGCTCCCTTTCTGTTCCTCTCTTCCCCTCTTTCCTGTTCCTTGTGTGTGCACAGAGGAAAGACCCCAAGAGGCCACAGTGAGAAGGCAACCTCTGCCAGCCAGGAAGAGTGCTCACCAGAAACTAACCCTGCTATGTTCAGACTAGGACAAAAGCTTCCAATACTGTAAGAGCATAAATTGCTGTTGCCACCCAGTATGTGACATTTTGTTATAATGACCTGAGCAGATTAATGGAACAGAAAAAAATTATGAGAAGTCCATAAATATGGGACTTCTGCTTTCTGAAACACACTGATAAGATGGGAAAAAAAGTCACAGTGAGAGAGAATACCTACAAATCACTTACTGAAAGGAATATTTTATAGCCTAGATATACATACACATATGAAATATATATACATATGTCAAACTCAGTAATAAAAGAAACAATATTTTTAAATGTTAGTGTATACCTTCCAGGGTCTGGGAGCCTTGGAAATATAAGTCCAGGCTGGCAATTTAGTAATTTAGCCAGACTCTTTCTCAAAATAAAAAAAAAGAAGGTCTGTGGATGTAGCCAGTGTGAAGGAGTTGAGTTCATTTTCCACTATGGGGGAAAAAAATTAACAGGCACTTCCCCCAGACAAAAGATGCTCATTATTAAATACTAGGGAAATACAAATTAAAACCAATAAAAAATAACAGTCCAAACCCAATACAAAACCTCAAATTAAAAGCTCAGTATTATTAAATGCAGCTGAAGATGCAGTTACACAGCAATTAGGAAACCCTCACTGCTGGTGGGAATGCATAATACATAGCCACTTTGAAAACCAGCTTGACAGTTTCTGATGATACTAAGTGTACAGTTGCTGTGAGACCCAGAACTTTCACTTACTCCTTGGTATCAACCCAAGATAATAAAGATATTTATCCACACTATAGGGATGAATGTTCACAGATGGAAATAATTCAAATAGTGAATGGATAAATAAGTTGTGGATGTTATGGTTGATACATTGTGTCAGCTCGTATACTTTGTATACATCCTGAGCGTGTGGAAGAGGAGGGCATGGAAATTATGTGAGAGCTACATGCCGCTTAGGTGGGTGTAGCCTGTTTACAATGTAAGGCAGGGAAAGAAGCTGCTTGCCGCCATTCCTCCCTTTTGCTCTGGCTGTTTGCTGTTCGGCTGCCATTCCCCCCTTTGCTCTTGTTGGTTTGCTACCTTCTGCCTCGGAGCCAGCCAAGTATGGACTGAAACCTCCACAAACTGTAAGCT